AGGCGGAGGCGGTGGCGGTGGCAGATGCCGACGGGTCAGTGGCAATTACAAGGAGCGCCTCATCTGTGGCTCCAATGATGCGCAAACTATTCCAGCCGGTGCAATTATGCACAAACTACAACAGCCACTGTGCAATTCTCTTGCTGCGGTGTGTTTGTCCAGCTCTCGAAGCGGCGTGTCTGTGTAAAATTCTACCGTCCATACACTTGGAAAAAAACTGTATTCCAACAGACTTTTTAAAGTTCATCCGCTAATGCGATTTCAAAATGCATCGAATAAAGAAAATAGTTGCAAGGCGTTTATTTTTTTTTAAATATATAGCTCAGAATACAAATTGGTTTTAAGTAAAGAAACTGATTCATTAGTTTATATTGTAAGATAATATAATAGTTTAATGCTTTCAAACTAACAGTCTGCTAACTGCTTACACTGTTTAAAAAGTTTTTAGTCCTCATCGCTTTAAAATAATTAACTTAGAATCCGAGTTGGTTTCTGGTTTAGATTAAGAACGTCAAACTTTTTCAAATCAATCACAGAACTTTTGCATTGAGTTTAATTATTTTTGCAATTGTTTTAGCTTGTTGACTTTTTCCGAGTGAAGCCCTATATTTGCCTGCTCAGTTTGCTCCTGAAGCGGATGCGACCGAGGCGCTGACAGCGCATAATTAGCGCATAGTTGGCCATAAATCGACTGAGCCGGAACTTAAGAGGGCAACATGAGAAGCGCGGAGAGAGGCGCCAAAACACTCCTCCTAATTAAACGATCAGCGAAGGAGGATGATGCGGCCAAATCAATGCCAGCAAACGGCCAGTTGTAAAGGAGCAAGGAGTGTTTAGGCCCACTCAAACGCACACATGATACAAAGAGAAACTAAGGGGTAAATGCTTTTGGGGATATTCAATTACAAACCTTCCTAATTAACATTCTGGTCCGCGGTTGCGTACCCCTCGCGTCCAGTCACTTAATGAGATTTTCCACCAAATGAGCTTACGGGCACCCCACACCCGAAGCACAAACCCAAATCCAACTAAAGAGCACCCCATTTTCGCATCGAATTGAGTGTAGTTAATTGAATTTAGATGCGATTTATGTCTGCAAAATGCAATTTTTGGCTCAGAGAATTTTTGAAAGGCAGCCACTCATCAGCCAGTCTCATTTATCATTATTAATCCAGAGTTTTCGGGAATTTTTTTTTTTTTTTGGCGTAACTTGAAACCCATCCCAAGGCACATGTAATTTAACTCGTTAGCCCGGGCAAACATCGCTGGGATTGGGGACTCGTGTCGGTTGTTTTTTCTGGGTTTTTTGGGGTGGAAGGGTCAACATTTTGAAGCCTGACACCGCTTGGCAAACACAGCCAAATTAATTAGTTTCCATTTGAATTGCTGAGCAAGCGAACGGGTGGGGGGAGGGGAGGAAATTGAAACGAAATCAAAACAAGAAACCCAACGTTGGGCAGCAAAATGGGAAAAAATGATATAAATAAATATAAACATGTTGGCAAGAGCAGCCGGGCAGCGTCGGACAAAAGGACAATAAAGCGATTTTAATTAATTTCTTTTGCGGCCAGCGTCAAGGTGAAGCCAAACAAAAATGGTCGAGTGAAAAAGTGTTGGCGTGATTTATTTGCGAAGCGAGAGCAGCGGAATCAAGTGAGTGCAAAAACTGCATGCAAATAGCCAAATTTGGCTGGGGCGAAATGTTTAAGGTGCGACTCACAGCCACGCCCACGCCCACTTGGGGGGGGGGCTTGACATTAATGGAGAGTGCAGAGCTTTGGCCAACCACCCAACATCCCACTACCCACCACCCCCGCCTCCTCGATTTCCCTTTGCTGCGGCCTGGGTGGGTCTTCGTTAGTGATGCCTTGGTTCTGGAGGTTTGAAGGATTTTCCTGCCGTTCGCAGCGAGTAAATGGGCGTTGGGCAATGGGGCAATGGGGCAACGGGGCGGATGGAAATTGCGTGCAGCTGAAGTAGAAGGCGGGCGTGGTCAGCTGCCCATTTTGGCCACTCTCCTTGTTCTATCGCCGCATTATGCATACGACGTGTGAGCCCTAGTCACTAAACTCAACAGACCAAGTGCTCAAACATGAGTAGAAATGATCTGACATAAGAGGCTTGGCTGTTTTAAAGAATGTAATCCATTACAAATATAACATGGTTTTCAAAGACGGCAACTCCATAAAATATATATAATAATTTTTGAAACCTTTTACTCGTAGAGTAATAGTTCTTTATTTTTAAATCGAACGTTTTTTTAGAAATTATTAAGAAATTAAAGTCAAACAAAATCAGTTATATCTGTTGTAGTATTTCAAATGAAAACCTAAACTTTGATATAAATAGAACGTTGCCTTGTTTAACTCTAATTTCGCGTTTCAACAAGGCAGTTATTAAGATGTCTAATTTAGCTACAACAGAATATATTCAACTCACTCTCCAATCGGAGTTAAAAATATACAAATTCCTTATTCAAAGCTGCCCAAAATCTAGCTTAATGCATACGCCGTGTGGCCACTGACTAAACCCATCTTAAAGCCATCGAACGAGGCTCACACTCATCCAATTCGTTTGCTGCGGGCTCTTTAGCTTAATTACGTTTTTATTGGATTTTATACTCAGTGAAGCCTGCGGCGCGAACGGGGGCAGAAACATCAAAAACATTGCCACCGACGTAAATTAAGCATAATAAATAAATTACCATAATTATAAAATGTGTGAGCGGCAGCAGAAAAAAGGCGACATCGAATAAATGCGCCGTCGAGAATTACATAAAATATCAGCAAGTATACACGCACAAATGTTTTAAAAAGGCGGGCAAAGAAAAACCGAATGAAATGAAATGGAACGAAACAAAACGAAACGTAACGTAAAAAAAAAAAAAAAACCAAATGCAAATGAAAAACCAATACAATATTTGTCATTTACATACATCACATCACACACAAGTGCCAGAGTGTGTGAGTGTGTATGTTTATTTCGATTTATGTTGTGGCAACACAGCAACTGCAGGCGACAGAACAGCCAAGGACTCGAATCCTGGGCGCGGCAAGGAGTCAGGGTGAAATTTGCATGTCAGAATCAAATGCGACAGTTTTGACAGCTTGCCGGGCTCATTATTTGCATACAGATGATTGTAATGACGCCGTCGATGAGTGGGAACAATGGAAAGGGAAAGGGAAAGGGGAAGGGAATGGGAATGGGAAAAGGGGGTCGGGTTCTGACTTCTACAGTCCTGACCTGACCTGGCCTTAAACCACATCCCAAGCACATGACACTGGCTGATCAGATGGCTCGACAACCACCAGTGAACTGCAACTCAAGACCACCTCAAGCTGCACAGCGAGACGTTCAAAAAGCAAGTAAATATCTAAACTCTTTAAAACCGAAGTAAAATAAAATAACCAATTTTTTATTAAGATTAGAAATAATCTTAATGGATCAATGGGTCACCATTCCCAGGGAAAATTACTTGACGAAAACATGTGTACAAAAGTGAATTAACGACCAAAGAAAATATAAATTTAATTTAAGTACACATTTTTAAATACGAAAGGTAAGTGAAGTTATAGACTGAGTAGTAAAGTTGCCACTTAGTTTTTTTTCAGAAATTTGAAATTGTTGAAATTGTATTGAATTTCATTTTCTGAAAACCCATATTTTTCACTACACCTATTTAATTTCTGTATTTCCAACTAAATCAATTAGAATGTGGAATCAGAGTATAATTAATATATCCATTTTGAATCTGAGCTAACAGAATCATTATAATCCTATAATCCCAAATGGCATGGAGGAACCAAAGCAGTGGTAATTTTATTACAAATCAATGGCACAAACCAATTTTCCTGGCCAAATTGCTCTCTCCCCGACTCTTTGAGCACTTGGTGTAGATATCGTGATTAATATTCAGGCACTTTAAACTTGAAATAAAAGCAGCAATCGGATTTATTTAAGCTGCTGTGTTCTTTCCCCCGCTGGAGGGCAAACACAGACACACATGGACAGCAGCAGCTGTTGGCTGTGATCTGATTTCATTTGCCCGGCCACATGCTATATGCCACATGCCACATGCCGCTCTCAATACATTTTGCTCGGGAAAAACTGGGACCAATGTGCAATGTCAATATTTATGAACTATTATTGAACATTTGACGAAGTTGATGATGATGTAAAAACAACATCATTCTGCAAGAGCATAAGTGCAAGAGATGTCGATGTAGATAGGAGCTTACATTAGCCAGCGACTGGCAAAAGAAGAATTTAATTAAAAAGTCAAAGGAATTGGAACGGAGGACAAAATGTTGACTATGGAATGCCAATTTATGACAGCAATGACAAGCATGCCATTCGATACAGGATACACACACATAAGCACACACACTTGCATGGGGACGGGGATGTTTCGCATAATGCAAAAAAGCGAAAATTAATGGAAAATTAATTAAGTGTCGTTTAATGTTGTCTCAATGTAAACGCTTTCAACGCAGCGCAAATTAAATTGTTGATGCCATACAGCAAGACCACTCAGCTTTTTTTCCCTTTTCCCTCCCCTGTTTGGTGGCTGCTTTTGATTTATTGGTTTTCTTTCGACGGGTTTCACATATACATATATATTTGTGCTATATATTTTTTTTGTATTTTTTTTTTGTACCACCCAGTCTTTCCTTTAACTGAGCTCAACTACTGCTGCCTGCTGCATTCTGGAGGCTCATTCGAGCGTTAGCCAGGACCATAAAATTACATTTTCCCCTCCAAAAACACCCACATTTGCAGGCAGTTCTACACTCCATCTCCATCTCCTGCTAGTTCTCCTGCCCCTTGACCACATGGCGTATGCGCAATCTCAACGAACCAAAGCTCGGCGTCAGAGTAACTTTTCCATATGCAAAGTGCAATGGAAATTGCAATTTTTTATGTGGCTTTTCTTTGGCTTTTGCCAGCAATTCAATCAAATGCAAAAAAAAAAAAAGAAAAAAAATTATATACACACTTACCTTCTTGCAGTAATCAAGCAAATCCATTTTATCACGCAAACATGTGGCGCCGGTTGTCTTCTTGCTGAGGTCTGTCACCCAACGTCCCTCCTCCGAAAGATATTGCGGCTGATAGATTTGTCCGGCCTCGCAGAGAACGGCTATCTGGGGCTCCCATCGCGGCGAAGCGGCCTGAAAACCAAAAAGGACGATTAAAATCGAATCGAGGTTATTCTGATATTCTTCGGCATTCTTGTGGTCAATTGACTTCCGATTTCCGGAAGAGTAACAAGTTGTCATTGTCGGAGATATGCCGAATAATTCCTCATTCCTGGCAATGCCAACAATGCGTATGCGTAATGTCTGTTATGTGTAGTACCCAAGTATTTTAGAATTTGTGTGCATGTATATGTATATGTATATGTACTATATGTATCTGTTTGTGTGAGAGCATGGGCTTACGGATGGGACACCAAACAAAGGCACCAAAGACAAGACAGCAGCAAACAGCAGACAGCAGACAAAGACATGCCGAGGCACATTAATCATACGCCACATTGTACAGGCACAACCCACATCTCTAAGCTCCTCTCCGTTCGTGACAAAGCGATAAAAAATGATGCCACATCGTTTGGGAGCTAGGCATATACTGGGGATATTGCCAACCGGGAGCCAAAGAACAATTAATGGCCGTCATTAGGGGGCGAGAAGGCGCAAAGGCAGGGGCGTGGCAGCAAGTGCTGAGTTCAGGCGATTGCTTAAATGCTTCATTACCACATGACAGGACCAGCCATGTGGCCAACTGCGAAATGCCCGGAACGATGATGAATGTCCGGGCAAATTATGCATAACGATATCAATTGATACATTGATTGATTGACGCCTTTGTGGCGAAAGTGCGAAAGGATAGAAAGCGCGTGTAGAAAGAGAGAGAGAGAGAGAGAGAGTGAGAGAGAGAGCACAATGCCAAATTAAGGACAATATGATAAAATACACAATTGAATAAAACTCTATGTTCTAACCATTAATTGTTTGTATACACAAGAAATTCTTTTATAGAGAAAGGTGATCATGGAGAAAAACAATTCATGAAGATATAATTTAATGTCTTTAAATTTTGTAATTCTATATTGTCCATAGATATTTTTATATAACACATTTAAGTACATAAAGCAATACAAAAAAATTCGTAATTTTACTATAAGATGTCTTAAATTTATTGTAGATTTATACAAAGGTTGTATTAATATTTAATGTTTTTTTATTATTTGAATAGTGGTATTACGATATTCGAAAAAGCTGAATCTTAAAAATAAAAACAAGTAGAAGTCATTTTTCTGATTATACAAATTGTCTAATTAAATTAAATGTCTTTTATTAAGCCTTTAATTAAAAACTATTTCATTGAAACAAAAATAAATCTGCTTTTCGCAGCTATCCAATGATTTGAATCAAAGCTTTTTCGCTCAGTACTATAAGAGGGCTGTAGAAATCAGCAAAGGGATAATCACCGGAGACAATTGAAGGAGAATCACAGCGAATAGGGAGCGGGATTAATGTGCAAAGGGCGAGGGATTTTGGGGCAGAATTGGAAGACAATGCCGGCGCTGATTGCAATCAAAGCGAGTTGCTCGCCGGCCCTAGATTTCCACTCTCCAATTATGACCAGCAACAATGGGTGCTCCCCTGATCTGTGCTTTTCCTTTCAGCTAGCTTAAATCCAGAGGCTTAAGTCCCTGGGTTTTGTTTCAATTTTTTTCGCGCGCACAATCAAAGTGGAGCAGACTTTGCCTCCCCGTCATTTCACGGCTTAAGCTCCTCACTTTTCCACGCTTTTGTACTCGCTGTGCGTTGGTCTGCAGTGCAAGCGATTCGCGGAATCCAGCCAGTGTGCACTCATTGATTCAGCAACTCATTCAGGCACTTGCCTGGCAAATGATCCCTCAGAAGTTGCGAATTGGTTTGGGACTTTATGGAGTGGAGACTGTACATCAATTACCAGTTTCTTACTGCTGTACTCTGTGCTGTACGTTTATAGAATAATATGTAAGTACCTAGTGTCGGAATTGAACATGTTTGCAGTATGATTGTAATATTTCTCTTGTCCTTGAAATCCTTTCAAATTAATGCGATAAACTTTGTCCCACTTTTAATGATTTCCAAGTCGAAATGCATTAACCCCAGAGCGAAAGAGAAACAGGGACCCCAAATAACACATGTTTGCAAAGTGATTAAACATAAGCATTCCCTACTGCCGGGCACTTGTTTTAATGATGCCCTAATGCATTCATAAATACATAAAGGCTGTTGCACAATATAATTATTGATCGGAAACCCTGGAAACATACGCCATGCACACACACACACACACACACGAATGGTCGAAAGTGCATTGAGTGGATGTGGATACTCGCAAGTAACGAATACTTGCAAAACTTCATTAAAGCCGACTTCCGGTTGCCAAGGCAGCAGCTGAAATATGCATTATACCCAAAGGCTTTTCCATTTTGCCTCTGCCTGAATTCTCTTCGTCCTTCGCTTGTCAGTCGAGCAATGTGATGTGTTGGTGTGTTGTGCTGGTGTGCGCTCAACTATTTCAAAAGTAATTAAGTTGGCAAAAAGGCGCCAACGCAGCGCAGCTCAGCTTTTGTTTGTCAGTTTTTCCCGCTCAGTTGGAACGGCGCGAAAATAAAGGGTTAAAAATGGGGTGGGGTGGTGTGGAGCTGAGAAAAAGCTGGCGAAAAAGCCCAGTGACAGTGGAGGGCCAGCAATTTTTCCAGGCAATCTAATAATTCAACCAAAAACCCCAACAACACACACACGACTGGCCAATGCCCTTTTTCCATCAATGTGTGTTGTGTGTTGTGAGTTGTGTGTGTGTGTGTGTGTTTGTTTATGCAGATTTTGTTTGGCTTTTGCCGGAGTCGGGATTGCACTTGTTGTTGCTGCTGTTGTTGTTTACACTAACACCAACAATGGCATATGCCACACAAGGGGTCAGGGGTCACAGGCAGGGGGACAATAATAATGTCGCTAGCCATGGCAACGCAATGTGCAAACAAAAACACAAAGACAAATTTGTACCAATGACGGGAGTTAGACGGAGCTCAGCTGAAAAAGGTAAACCCAGAGTCGAAAGAGGAAGAGGAAGAGCCCATATATGTAACGAGTGCATGTCCTGCGACAATTATGCGGAATATCCTCTTTTCGGCCATTCCAAAATAATGAGAATAGACAGGAGCAGCACCCATTAAACGCAGTTCAACCAACTTAATCCTGCCACACACTGTCACACTGCGGAAATACCATATTAATGGCATACACAAAGTTTTTTTTTTTGAAACAAGAAAACATTCGAAAAAAAGACATACCATACTTGAGTACATGGCCTCTTTGGCAGCGCTATGAAATAGTATGCTTTCAAAACCTGTATGTGTTGAAAAGAATGTCCTACATAATTCAATCAGTCTTAAGAGAACATCTGGTTTTTGTTTTTTTTTTTTATATTTATTTATTTTAGGCCTTAAAATTGCTGATAGATAGACCATATAGAACATCCAGTGTTAAACCACTAAAAAAAGTGTTAATACCATGTAAATAAATTGCATAAAGATACCCAGCCTATGCACACAATACACACAATTTCGCCGCTACAAATTGTTAAAGACCTGCACTTGGACTGACCGCCATAATGATCGAAGAATGTAATGCGGAGATGGGGCAAATCAGAAGCCACAAAATTGACAGGCGACAAAGGGAAATTGCAGCAGCATGCATGGGTGTTAATGGGGAGGTGTTGTGGGGGCGGATGCAAGGGGAGGCGAGTGCAACAGCCAAAACGTTGCCACTTATGGCCACGCCCACCGACCAAATCCGCCCCAGCTTCCGTCTGCTGCTGTCGTTTCACTTCCTCTTTTCTCGCGCTCTGCTGAAAGGCAATCATGGTGGAGAATCTCCGCTTTCCCCTACCCATCCCCTCACCGCCCCCAACTATCCCCTGGGAAACCCATCGCTTTTCATCCGCACTGTTTGCTGAACAAGCTGAAAGGGCGACAAATTGTAATCAAATGCACGCATGAGTGTGTGTGTGTGTGTGTGTGCGTTTGTCCCGTTTCGCCCCCTTAAAAAGAGGCGTGGTTTTGTGTGAGTGCGACAGGTTTTTGCTTGTTTCCCCGGCCAAAAGGAGCAGCAAAACATGCTTAATCGGGGGCAACGGTGGTATTCGAAGAGGTGGGAAGGGGTGGGGGGGTCGGTAAAATAGTGGAAAGCCATTGATTAACTTGCTGGGCGGAAAGTCAAACGGTGTACTCGCATATGGAGCTCATAAACTTGCCAAGTAATTGGAGTTTCGATCAGCGACGAAAAGTACGCAGCAGTATTTCAGCAGGAAATGAGGACATCGAAAAGGGCGGAAAAAGCTATTTCGAAATTAGATTTCTATGTGCACTCTAGAACCGAAATCTGAGTACATGAAGTAAGAATTTTAAGACTAAAATCTCCAATTCCCCGGATATCAAATGGGTGCCCATGCCACTAAAAAATAGTGCGTTAACGCCCATGGCCGTTATGGCATGTAACCAAAACTTACAATCATTAAGAATTATAACAAAATGGATATGAAATATAACACAGTAGTCTTTACAAATGAAAATGGAAAATGTTTCTGTAAAGAGATCAAGTTACCATAAATAATTTGTGCATTTCATAAAAATTTTATCCCAGAAGGCTGTTTCAAATAACAGCTTAAAAAAATAAATCATATTCAAAATGACTTCCGAGGCTAAAAAAATTGTAAAAACCAAAAACAGCGCACCTAGTCATATGCAACCCGAAGAGCGGCGTCAGTTTTTGCAAGTAAAGGTCAAGGCGCTGCCCACTCCGATTCAGAACAAAATTGTGGTTCTTAAGAACATACAATTGGAAAAGATCAAAATGGAGAAGAATTTCTGTGATGAGGTATACGATCTGCAGTACCGGTACCAACAGAAGTACGAAGAACTATATAACAAGCGAAAGGCCATCATCGAGGGGGAAACTGAACCCGATCAACAGCATTCGAATGTTAAGGATGAGAGCTCTGAAAACGATTTTGGTCGTGTCAAAGAGGTGCCGCTGAGCGATGCAAAGGGTGTTCCCGGTTTTTGGCTAACGGTGTTACGCAACACAATGATCACGGACATGATAAAGAAACACGATGAGCCAGCATTGCGCCGCCTAATTGATGTGACAGTTCGGTATGATGTAGGGGTAGGTTTGACACTACAATCTACTACTTATTTAGGTCTGACCAAAATATCCAACTGTCTTTGCAGCACGCATTCAAATTGGAGTTCCATTTCGAAGCCAATCAGTTCTTTGACAATTCGGTCCTATCGAAGAAGTACTTTCTAAGGTCCTCCATTGATCAATACGATCCGTTCGCCTATGAAGGACACAAGGTGAAATCGTGCCAGGGATGCGACATCGACTGGAAGGACAAGATGAATCTCACAGTCAAGACAAATAATAATACTCCCGTGGAGTCTTTCTTCAACTTCTTTAATTCACCCCAATGGTCAATTGATAACGAAGACGACGATGAATATAAAGAAGCTAAGGCCCTAGAAGCCGACTACAAAATTGGCAACTTTTTACGCGTCAGGATTATTCCTAAAGCGGTTCTCTACTTTACTGGTGATATTGTGGATAAATATGGCGATGAAGACAAAGATTAACATATAAGAGCAATAAGGATTAAGGCGGAAAGTCAAATGTCGACAAAGCCTCTCCAGCTCCTTCTGGCACTACGAAATCAGTGTGATTTCAAATTACATACTCCCCAATTTAAATTCATGTTCAAGTAAATATTTCATAAAAACCAATTTGGAATTACAATTGATACAGTTCGACAAAAGATTCATTACAATGATTAGCAAGGATTAACTTTTTTTTAAGCACCTACAGATTGTTTACAATATTTTACTTTACCAGAGCTTTAAAAGTTTTATTCTGTTCATAAAATGTGAAACATATCGAGCTTGAACATCAAGTTAAAATAAAAGAGAAAAAACTTTTTTAAAGTATTAACTACTTTATCTAACCAACGAGAAAAGTGCCTATTCCTGCGGCTTCTTCAAGAATGCCATAGAAAATGTAAGATATCAAAGCCGCAGTCAATTCCAAACTTTCGATTTAAAAACTTAAGTCATCCCCACCGTCCACAAGCGTAGGGGGCGTGGCCTGGCCAAAAGTAGAAAGTAGAAAACGGAGAGCAAAGCAAACCGGCCAATAAGTACTTCAGGGGCTACTTATAATGGTCAAAGAGGGCGAAGAGCCGACCGGAGACGACAGAAACACAATTATGTTAATGTTTACTCGACCGTAATTAACTCAAATTTATGATATTTTAATTTCGCCCGAGCGGGACACTCGACAGCGGTCAAAGTTGGAAAAACTCGGATGCAAATGTGCGAGAGGGAAATGGGGGAACGTGTAGTAGAAAAAGCGTTGGAAAAGCAACGAAAGCAACAAAACAAACAAAAGAAAATTGCGTTATAATAACACACGTAGAAAAAGTTCCCATTCCGTCGCCTGTTATGCTTAATGCGAGTTGGAGACAAATAGAATTTTAATGCAAAATAAAACGCAAAATGTTTTTTCTCTTCTGTTTGGAGTCCTTTTTCATTTTTCTTTTACTTTTTTTTTTATTTGTATTTTTTGGTTCTTCAGCAGTCGGCGACAGGCGAAGGAATAACAAATGCGTTGGTCTGATCGACGGGATAATTACAGTGCGTTTCATGAGTGTAGGATGCTAAGAGAAAATTTGGTAGCTAAAATACTTTATCAACATTTGGTTGAAGTTCAAAAATACCCAGTTCAATTTATAAATACATTTAAGAATGAAATGTGTATTCCTATATGGATTTATAAATTCATGTCATATTTAAATTTAGAGTATGAAAATGTTTAAAAAATTACCCTTGAGTCATATAAGTCATATTATTGTTGAGGGGTCTCAGAAAAAAATCATGTGATTAAGACTATACCAAACAAAGAGAGATTCAAGAGAGATTTCGCAATGGCCTTTGAAAATGTATTATTTATGATTGAAACGCAAACGCATTTCTACAGTAATTGCAATTTTTGTCAGTCGCAGGACTCAGAGCATTCAAATTATGCTTTGCATGTTAAATTTGCGGACCGACAGAAAGAGAAAAAAATGAGCATGGGCGGGTTGCAAAGGGGGGTGGGGGCTCTAGGTTAACCCACAGCAGTGGCCACCGAACACGTAGCAAGTGCAGATGAAAAAGCAGCAAAGAAAATAAAAACAAATTGTGAAAAATAGCCACAAGCCAGGGCTTTTAGGATCGAGAAGGGGTAGTGTGTGGGTGGGGGGAGGTGTGGGGATGGGGGGATGGGGATGGAATGTCATGGGTGGCGGTAGAGGTTCCTAAGTAGCGTGTCGCTTAAAGTAAGTCAAAGTTGGGGACTGGAATCGCTTTTCTTCTCTTTTACACCCGCAACCATCTTCGTTTTTTTTTTTTTTTTTTTTTTTGAAGCCATTGGTGAACGCTCACAAACACATACACCGAAACAGACATAGAGTCATGGGCTATTATTTATGAGTTTTCTACGTTCGCTGCCGTCTTTTGTGCATTTTCGCTTTTTGCCATTTAACTTTTTTTTCATGATTTTCCTCTTTTTTGCCCTCTTGTGTGTGTGTGTGTGCGATTTTTTTTTTCTCGCTTCTCGTTTGTTTGTGGCTCAATTTCGAGTGTCAAAAAGCCTTGTTGTTGCCGTTTTGTTGATGATGACTCAGCACACAAGGGCGAGGTGGGCTTTTCCAGAGAGCGGGCATGAAATTTTGTTGGCCTTGTTTTGCTAGCTTTCTCTACTTTTTAGCTTGAAGCCTGAAACGTGCCTAAGAGAGTGTGTGTGCTCAGGCATATGTGTGCGTTTAATTCCACTTGCACACACACACACACACCCACACACGAATGCAAAGTGAAAAAAAAAACGAAGACTGAAACTCGAAACTTTTTGGCCTAAACTTTTTGCAGTACGTAAAACCCAAAAAACCTTTCTTCATTTCATCTACTACTATCTCTGTCTCTCTTTCCCCCTCTCTCTCTCTCTCTCTCTGTCGTTCTGCCTCCCACAGGTAAATCGGATGCTTTGACAGCACTCACTCACTCACATCACATCCACACACACACACACACACACACACACACATTGTGTGTGCAAATTGAAATTAATTTTGTGAAAAGTGCCTGCAAGTATGCAACACAATTTTTACAAGACAACTTTCCCGCACGCGAGGCTATGTGCGTCTATCTCTTTTCTATCCATTTATGTATCTGTGTGTATATGTAAGTGTGTGTGTGTGTGTGTGTGTGTGTATGTTCACTGTACTTTCTAATTGATGCTGCTGAAAGCACTTTTAATTACATTTGCGGGCGTCAGGATGGCCCCAGGATGCAGGCCAGAGGAGGGGAAGCCCCGACCTAAAACTCAACTCAACTCAACTGGATTCGAGTGCCGGCGAATGCTCATCGTCATCAGCGTCATCATCAAAATCATCATCAGCGTCAGGATAGCAGAAAAGCAAAAAGTAGTACAAAATATCTCACTCTCAAAAAGAATTCCAAAAATATACAAAATAAAAATCTTGTTATTTACTAATAATTTGATGATCATGAGAAAAACATTTCATCAGCATAAGAAATAAAGTAAAGAAAATTAATTTAAAATTATTTTAGAATATTATTTTTATAAATATTTTATTATTATAGATAAAAGAAAATTAATTTTTGGTCATTTTATAGCGACTTAATCGTAAAAACTTAAAAAAAAGTCTTAAATATTAAATATCTTTATGTTGATCAAAAAGAGAGGGTTATATCAGTAAATATTAAGTTTTAAAAATATTGGTATTGAAAATATTTTTTTTGCCAGCCCTTGTCTGCACTGACCAACATCAACTGGGAAATCATCACCATCATTGAGAAGCCAAAGTGGTAGTAGTTTTCCAACATTTTATCATCCAATCCATCCAATCCATCCAATTTTCAATTTTAATTTTTATACTTTTGTCAAAAACTTCATATGACCAACCTGACCCGGACCCCTTCTCCTCCCCCATCACCAACTATGTATCTAATTGATTTGGCAAAGCTATATCCTGCAGGAGCTCTTCAATTATACAACTTTTGGCCCCAAAATGAAATTACTCAAGTAAGCCTCTCTGTGATATGCGATTCGTTTTGCGTTTTGCATTTTCTTTGCATAATGTTGGATTCCCTCTGTCGCCTTTCTCTATTTCCCGTTCGCCTACTCGTACACCCCAAATAATTGGGGTCACTTCTGCCCCTTTAAATGTCTCTCTTGTGCGGTTCATTATTCGTCGATTTGCTGCAGGTCCTTTTGCCATATTCTCTTCTTTTTGCTCTTCATCTTCCTCTCGATTCATTTCATTTCATTTCATTTCACTTCATCTCATTTCATTTCGATTTTTTTATTCAGCTAATTGAGTGCGAGCTGCAAAATGGTCAGAGGGAAATAGTGTAGGAGTGCGTTTAATGGCCCAAGATGACGATGACAATTGAAAACTCATTTGTTATGGCCTGATGTATTTAATCGATGGTTTGCCTTTTCTCCTAAAAAAGAGGCCATGATTCATGGAAGAAAGTAGACAGAGAGAAAGGAAAAACAATTCTGAAATAAGGGTCGAAAAACTGGAGCTGACATTAGGGAGAAATTACTTAATGTGCTCTGGTATATTACATTTGATGTTTAATGGACTGCTGGTAATTTGCCGAAAGACTTCAATTGGGTGTTAAATAAAATGATTCTTTGATTCAGCTAAATAGTTTATAGATACCAAGATCAAAGGTCAGATAAAGATCCAGTTCTGGGTCAATCTAATTATCAATGGTTCTCACAATTTCATAATTAATTAATATTTACTTTTGTAATATAGATTTTTGCATATTTATTTATTAAATAAAAATATTCAAAATATGTTCAGCAACATGATATTCACTATGCAGTTCTTAATTGCTGGAAATTAAATTAAAATCGGAAACACACTCCAATTCAGAAAACTGTGCAGCAATGTGCTCACTTAGGGTAATCAACTAAATTATCTACTAGTTTCACCCCCAAAACATCTACAACTATGACGCCCAAATTCGCGCCCAACGGAAAACCCCAAAACAGAAATTCGGGAAAAACAGTAATGGGAAATAGGAAACCCATGCGCAACGAAGTTAACTGAAAAATTAACGCTGAATCAGCAAAGCAATCAACAAAAATTACGCAACGTTAATGCGCTTACAAGCAGGGATCAGCTGGGCAGAAATAAAAGGAGACGGGGATTCGACGACCGACCATATATATAGACATATGTACATATGTATGGTATGTATGTATATGCTGGAGCCATAATGAAAATGCTGGCTAACAACATTTTAATCCGGGCCACAAATTGCTGAGGCTTAAAGCGTTCGTTCGATAATAAATATGATTAATTTTACACAAAAAGCCACCAAAACAAGGCCGGAAAGTGCATGAGCGAAAGGGACGGATGCGGATAAACAGATAGAGACAGACAGCTGTACTCAAATAAGTACAGTAAGCCACAAAACATTTCGACGCAAGGGGGGAAAGGGGGTGGTCTAAAAGCGTTTGCCCAAAATGCAATAAAGCTGGCAAAACAAAAAACTAATCAACAAATTATGGCAGGCAAGTGGTTGCGAACAAGAGAAGCCATAGGAAAGTAGGGAAAGTTGGTGAAAATTCAGTTCAGAGAGAAAGAGGAGAAAGTGAGGGGGGCGAAAAGATGGAGTGCTGCATTCTTATGGCAACCATTGCAATTCAATTAACTGTGAAAACTAATTAAGTGACTCCTGCTGAGAGCCTCCGTGGCAGCCTATGCATGTGTGCACTGGAAAAAACTGCTGATCTTGGATTTAAACTAATTTGAAATTGTTT